AATCTACACTAGTATATTAAAGATAAGGAAAACATCGCCGACATCTTGCATGGGTTGTTGATGAGTAAACTAACAGCAAAAGTTCATTTTGGGATAAAATAAACCTTTAATCCAAATGCATACATTGAACAGGAATGTAAAATGCATTCTGAATTCTATTTTCATTGGATAACAATTTAGTAAAATGCCAGTAGATGGCTAGAACAACAAGAATAACCTGCCCAATTAACCAAACATGATACATAATTAACCTAGATAAAATCCATTCTTAGTTTTTTGGTTGTTGTAATGTCTTTATGATTTATTATTTCTCTCTAATGCCATTTACTTCACCTCAGATCTTGAAAGAAGAACTTTATTAGACTCAAAACCAACATTTATGAGTAAATAAGCATCTACATTCAGTATTGTTAGAGAGGTTTATTATATATTAATTAGATTGGTGGTTCTCAAACTGTGGTACGTGTACCACTAGTGGTACACAGGCTTCCTTTAAGTGGTACCCGGAAGAATCAAATATGTCATATGTACATGCTACATATATTTGAATAAATTATCAAAAATGATTTATATATGAATATGATGACATACAGCCTACATTTATGAGGTCCAGGCAACATTTCCAGGTGTTCATAAATAGGCTACTACAGTATATGTTAATACTTTACATTTAAGAACAGGAGTTTTTTTTTTTTTTTTTTTTTTTAAACCTTAAAAAAAAGTAACCTACCATTTTTAACTTTTAAAGGCACATTTTAATTTAAATTTTGATTTTTGAGATTGTTTGTTTGTTTTTTGTTTGTTTGTTTTACATATAAGCACAGTACAGTATTAATATTCAAACTATAATGTTTAAAGTGGCTGTAATAGAAATTAATCTGCCTCGTTTTTTTAACTGTACAGAGCTGTAGCTGTAGCCTACTACGCTACTGTATTTTTAATACTGCTCATTATGGTGGTACTTGCAGAGACAACTTTTTTTTCTGAGGTGGTACCTGATAAAAAAAGTTTAAAAACAACTGAATTACATGATAAACTTTACCATTTTTTGGAGTCCAGTAAGAGCACTATTTTGTGCTTCTGAATGGCTTCTGAATGGCTGTATTTAAATTTCTGTCAAGTTTTATTTGGTGCAAACAGCCTTGCAAATTTTGCCAGCGTGTTGTTACAATGTAACCTGCTCACCTAATGTTTATGTTCATAATATTTATGTTAGTTGCTGTCCACGGGAGGTCACATTTCGGTCACGGGCGCATGCTTTGAGAGGCTTTCTGAATGAATGAATGAATTAATTAATTAATTAATAAATGAATGAATGAATGAGTGAGTGAGTGAATGAATGAATGAATGAATGAATGAATGAATGAATGAATGAATGAATGAATGAATGAATGAATGAATGAAATACACTGTTTTTTAACAAGGCAACCTGGGGTGCTGAAATATAATTGACTAAACTGGCATTGGGTGGATTACAAGAAAAAAAACAAAGACAGCATTCGGGCAGGTAAAAGACATTTTCAAAGCAGAATATCTGACTTCAGTAGTGTTTTTCATATAAAAAAGAATGTTAACTTGGCAAGTTTCTTATATATCTGTAAAGATATTATGATATTTGTGTGTTTTAGAGGAGTCAAAAGCACACAGACAGCACCTTTACGTGTTTAAATTGTACTTTAGGCTGAATACTAGTGTCTTGCAAAATATTTTGTAAAATATGACATACAATCATCATGACAAATACAAAATTTAATTAATTATTAGCAATTAGCCATTACTATTATGTTTAGAAATGTGTTGAAAAAAATCTTCTCTCCATTAAACAGCAGTTGGGAAATATAAAAAAAATTTCTTATAATTTTGACTTCAACTGTGTATGTATGCACGTTTATGTCAAAGAATAAAAACATCTATTAAAAAAGTAGGTGGAGGAATGACAAGTGTTTTCTGAATAAAGAAAGAAGCCCCTCGGGATCTCCCCCACTGTGCCATCAGTGACAATCCAGCTTCTTCATCACATAACCCTCACCTGGATCTCTCTCTCTCTCTCTCTCTCTCTCTCTCTCTCTCACACACACACACAGACACACACACACAATGACTTTATTCACCTGGTTCACAGTCTCCCTTACTTCCTAGTGCTCTCTCATCTGCTCCTGTCATCTCATTATCTATCACTTTATCAGATCAAGAGTGTCTCTGTCTATCTGAGCGCCGCTCCACATGCCGCCCTACTGTGCTCATAATTACGCCCGAAAATTGTTCCCACCTATAGCCCTTGTCTTCTCTCCTGCTCCTCGACATCACTCTGCAGTGGAAATGTAACAATCTCAATTATCATTACAACTAACACCGTCACCCCCTCATAAATCATCTCAAATCATCCCAGTCGCTCCCCATTCCTCCTCAGGAAGCTCAACAATAACACACTCTCATTTTATACCTTTGCTGTCCTTTCTTTTTTTACATTCCTAATACTGACTTATAAAGGGTACTTAAGTGCTGTCTATTCACTTTGTAATTTATGCATGTAATTCAAAGCTGAATTTTCAGCAGCCTTTATACTGCAGTCTTCGAGTGTCACTAATTTGGTGCACAAAAAGTATTTTAAATTATAAAGTTGTACTGTTTAATATTAAAATCGTTAAAATGTTCATTAACTAAACCATAGCTAAAGCGTTTTGGTTCATGAATTAGTGTGTTAAATATTCATTCATTCATTTTCTTTTCGGCTTAGTCCCTTTATTAATCCGGGGTCGCCACAGCGGAATCAACCGCCAACTTTTCCAGCAAGTTTTTACACAGCAGATGCCCTTCCAGCCGCAACCCATCTCTGGGAAACATCCACACAAACATTCACAAACACACTCATACACTACGGACTAGAGGTGAGAAACAATACTGGTCTCACGGTTCGGTTCAGTTACGATTATCATGCCTTCGATTCGGTTCAATTCGATATCTCGGTGCATCACACTGCATTGACGATGCTTTCCATATACAGTGTTATATTTTAGGGGGGAGGCTATAACAAGCTGTCTGTATAAACACACAGAGACACAGCACCACACTGTCTCTCATTCAAACACACACAAACATAGACAGCACCAAACAAACAAACAAACAAACAAACAAACAAACACACAAACAAATACACACTTAAACACACACACTTAAGCCCTCGAAACAGGGAGAGCTTGTGCTGAGCGGAGCAGAAAAACGAAAAAAAGAAGCACTTTTCCAATGGTCCCTCACTGAGAGCTTCTCTCAGCGCGAGCTCTCCCGGCTAAACAGCTTTCAGTAGATGTTCGCTTATCACTTTTCTAGGGTTCGTGCAAGTTTGTTATTTCCAATCGAAATAAATAGATTTGCGCCTTCCAGACGCACACAGTTGAATAAATGCCGCAATAAGGTCGCTGGTTTGAGTCTCGGCTGAATCAGTTGGCGTTTCTGTGTGGAGTTTGCATGTTCTCCCTGCATTCGCATAGGCTTCCCACACAGTCCAAAGACATGCGGTAGAGGTGAATTAGGTAGGCTAAATTGTCGGTAGTGTATGTGTGTGAGTGAATGAGTGTTTATGGATGTTTCCCACAGATGGGTTGCAGCTGGAAGGGCATCCGCTGTGTAGAACATATGCTAGATAAGTTGGCGGTTCATTCCACTGTGGCGACCCCGGATTAATAAAGGGACTAAGCCAAAAAGAAAATGAATGAATAAATGAATGTTTAGAAATGTTGAAAATCTTCTGTCTGTTAAACAGAAATTGGGGGAAAAATAAACAGGGGGGTTAATAATTCTGACTTCAACTATATAATATGTATTGCATTTACTTGCTTTCTGAAGGCATTTGTTAAATATGTGACAGGAACACATACAGTACTTATAATGGATTGTGCATCCAATCAAGCATTTTAGAATTAAAGGCAGAGGAAATATACCTTAAATTTAGATGCTTTCTTAAACAAAACATCTCATCTCATGCACCAGAAGTATTTAAAATATTCAAAATGCTGCATTTTTAGTGGATGATACTAAATAATCTTCCTAAATACACTTACTAAATTCTAAATAGTATTATTAAATACTAATGTGTGCTATCCATTTACCCACTGATAGGATGTAATACTCTTCTTCAGTTTTTAATGACTAGTTTAACATAGCAACAGACAGAAATTAAAGAGTTAGACACAAGGTATTGCATTTTGAAATTATTATTGGGAAATAAACAGATTTATTAATAGTCTTGCTGAGTTACTACTTTGCATGTAAACCAGGAAACAGGTAACTTCATTAAGATGATTTTTGTGAATTGTAAGTGTATTGATTTGCATGTAAATAAGTCCACTGTGTGTGTGTGTGTGCGTGCGTGTGTGTGTGTGTGTGTGTGTGTGTGTGTGTGTGTGTGTGTGTGTGTGTGTGTGTGTGTGTGTGCGCATGTGAGTGTGTGTGTCATGTAACCCAACAAAACTGCCTCAACACCCTGCATGTTAATAATACACAAGCCTCAACCTACTTCTGGTAATGTTCAAATAACTATTATAATCAACATAAAAAAGTAATTAACTCAATTAATTCTCACAATAATCAAAGCACGAAACATACAAATGAATAAGCGCAAATCTACTTAATAGTCTGTAATGATCTCTTGAAGCTTGCAGTTGTGAATTAGGCCACTAAAACTAAACTTTGATTCTCCTTCAAAGTCGACCACAGCTAATATCTACAAATAAACCCCCTATCAGAGTATTTAACCTCCAATAACACACTTTTCAGCTTTTACAGCAAGAAAACCTTACAATCTTTAGCTGTAAAAGCCAAAGGAACAATCAGAGAGAGTGGCCACTTTACTCTAGTAATTGAGCTCCATTTGAAGAATGAGAGAAACGTATAAGAGCAACAATCAGAAAGAAGTAAATTACCGCTAAACTGTCTAAAAACCGGTCTATTCCATTACTCTTAACCTCCTCAAAGTATGTACTGTACTGTATATAGACACTTACCAGCACATTTGGTGCGAGTTATAAGCGGTGGTCCTGGTGGTCCAGTGCCGCCCTCCCCAGGTCGGGTGAGAAGAACTTTAATCTCATACTCCACATCTGGGTCCAAATGCCAGAGTTTGTAAGTTGGTGCATCCACGACGTGCGTCTCGGCCCAGTTTCCAGTGGTGGTGCGATACTCCACCTCTTTCAGGATGATAGGGCCATCGCCGATGATGGAGTTGGCGTTCGGTTTGATCCACAAGTAGGTGGCGCCAACTGCAAGAAGCTCAGGGGGGGCGATGGGTGTAGGGGGTGCTGAAGAGGAAGATGAAAAGAGAATGATTATTATTAACAATCCTTGTTACGTGGATGTCTGGAATACTCAAAGCTGATTGGTCAGTCCAAGGTATGCTATTTTGAGATAACAACCGCTAATAACAGGTTCATTCGGAAACTTCCAATCTTGAACTTCAATAAATACTTGACCGTCAATGAATACATTTAAATTCACATTCTTACATCCACATTCATATGTATCTGCTTGTCTGTCATGCCACAAACCGTTTGCTGTCTTGTGAATAAATAATACATAGGTTAGTAGGTCTATATGCTTTATTTAGCCAGTTTCATTTTTTTGATTGCGTGGTGCCAGACTGAATAATGTGCAGGTTAGTGCATACTCCGTCAGCTGTTTTCATTTCAGTCAGTTTTGCATTTGTAATTGTTTGCTGCCATTTTGTGACTGAATTCTGTGCAGGTTAGTGTATAGTCCATCAGCTGTTTTCATTTCTGTCAGATTTGCTTTTTTGATTGTATGATGCCATCTTGTGACTGAATATTGTGCAGGTTAGTGCATCCTCCATCAGCTGATTTCTGTCAGCTTTGCGTTTTTAATTGTTTGGCGCCATCTTGTGACTGAATAATGCACAGGTTAGTGTATACGCCATCAGCCGTGTCTGTCATTTTTTATTGTTTGGCATCATATTGTGACCGAATACTGTGCAGGTTAGTTTATATTTCATCAGCTGTTTTCGTTTCTGTCAGCTTTGCATTTTCGACTGTTTGGCGCCATCTTATGACTGAATAATGTGCAGGTTAGTGCATACTCCATCAGCTGTTTTCTTTTCTGTCAGCTTTAAGTTTTTAATTGTTTGTCGCCATCTGATGACTGAATATTGTGCAGGTTAGTGTTTACTCCATCAGCTGTTTTCTGTCAGTTTTGCGTTTTTAATCGTTTGGCGCCATCTTGTGACTGAATACTGTGCAGGTTAGTGTAAACTCCATCAGCTGTTTTCGTTTCTGTCAGCTTTGAGTTTTGACTGTTTGACACCATCTTATGACTAAATAATGAACAGGTTAGTGTATACTCTGTCAGCTGTTTTAGTTTCTGTCAGCTTTTGTTTTTGACTGTTTGACGCCATCGTGTGACTAAATAATGAACAGGTTAGTGTATACTCCATCAGCTGTTTTCTTTTCTGTCAACTTTGCATTTTTGACTGTTTGATGCCATCAGGTGACTGAATAATGTGCAGGTTAGTGTATACTCCTTTAGCTGGTTTCGTTTCAGTCAGCTTTGCGTTTAATTAAAGAATAAATAAACTTATGCCTTAAAACAATGTTTTCTGTGTATTTTTTATGTTTTGTGCCAAGTAGCCATGAAATAAGAGGAATAAACTACATCCAGGTCAATTGTCTTCACAGAATAAAGCCTATCAGACTTATAAAACTGGTCTGATTCAGCTTTGAGCTGCCAATAAGTCTGTCAGGCTTTATTCTGCGATAACAACCTTCTGGATATATAAATTTTCTTATCACTGAAAAAAGTGTTGTATGCAGAACTGTTGCAAACTATTTGCTTGTGTTGAATTTAAACAAACAAATTAAGTTTAATAATGCTCAACTTAATTTGTTTGTTTAAATTCACCCCAAATAAATTGTTTACAACCACCTAACGTAAAAAAATTGAGTAAATCCAAGGAAACATCTTTGAATAATTTTTTTAGTGTACTTTATCCCTAATTTAACAATCAATAAACCAACCAACATTCACACAATGCCAAAATGAAGCAACATTTTAATATTAAGTTGCTTTCAAGTAATCCTGATGTGTACTTTTAAATTCTGTGTTGATTGTATATATATATATATATATATATATATATATATATATATATATATATATATATATATATATATATATATATTTTTTTTTTTTTTTTTTTTTTTTTTTTTTTAATGTCTGCAGGATTTCATATTTCAATCTTACTCTAAAGATAATGCTGGGTTGCTGTAACCCAACGTTGGGTCAATAAATATGGACAAACCCAATACTGTCTGAAAATGTATTTTTTCAATCAAAATTAAAATTAAAATAGACTTTTTAACCAACAGTTGGGTTTGTGCATATTTGACTTACGATTACGTTACAACAACCCAGAATATTAAAGAGTGTGTTTGCTTTACAAACAAAACAAAGACCAACCGATGTGCGAACATTATATAATGAATGTTTAATTTATATTTTAGTTTATGCTTTATTAATCACACACCACCTTTAAAAAAACGACCTAATATTTGGAATCTAATTCACCTTTCTAATGTTAGCTGAATTCTACAGTGATTAATGCAACACAATTAACATGGAGCAAAGAATGCACACACTTGGATTGCACAGCACAACTCAGGTGTAACTTATTTTGTGACAAATACAGTAATGGATTCACCATTACAACTATCATGATCAATCCATTGAGCTTCAATTTCTCAAAAACAATATCTATCAAAGGAACGAGTCGTGAGAAGCAATAAAATGGCTGCAGTAAAATTCACAAGCAATCCCGGGCAATAATTTTTCAGCAGATTTAAAAAGTTATTGAAGGAGCAATTAAGGGCCGTAGCAAGTAATCTCTCTTCACTATTACACTGCAATCAGACATCATTTCACATTTGCTTTTGTAGTGCAAAATGGTGAGGGGAAAATGAAGGCTGGAATTACAGTGAAGCGTGCGGCCCAAGCTCTGGAGCTCATTAAGGGATATCAGACAGACTTGCTTGGCCGGCAGAATTGTTAGAATAAATGGAATGAAACGTTTCCTGGAATCCCAGTTGAGAAGGTGGGCTATAGCATTTCCCTAAACACTTAGCTAAGCTCTCTCTCTTTCTCTCTCTTTCCATCTCTTCTCCATGGTTTCTACCCACTCACATTAAATCCACTGGAGACAGCTTATGGCCTGCACTGCATTAACTTCCTGTCTCTTCCCTCTTTGTCTCAGCAGCGTTGAGCACCTCAGATTTACCCTCAAACCTGTGAAATGTAAACAATACTTCTTTCTTTCTTGCTTCACCGCATCCTGCTTAGCTTCTTTCCTTGCTCCTTCTTTCCTTTCTTAATTCCTTCTGCCCTTGTTTTCTTTCTGTCTTTAATTCTGCTATACCTTCTTCCCTCTCTTGATTTCTTCCTTTTTCATTTCCCCCTTTTACTTATTTTCATCAGCTTTCTTACATTCACTCTAGTTTTTACATTCCATTGTTCCATTCTGTTCCCTCAGATATTTACATTTCGTTCTTTAATTCTTTGGTTATTCTTCCTCCCTCTTCTTTCATTTCCTTTATTCAATCTTTCCTTTAATATTTATCCTCTTTCATTTTGTTTTCATCCTTGCTATCTTTATAAATATGTTACATTTTATCAATCCGATCATTTTTTTTGTATCGTTCTTCTTTTCCTTAGTTTCTTTTCTCCCTTTTTCCTCCATCATTCCCTCATGGTTCCTTTTTTTTTACATTTTTTTTTACTCCATCCTTTTAATCACTGTGCTTCCTTTATTCATCTTTCTTTTTTCTTTCTTTCTTTCTTTTTTTCTCTCTTTCTTTCTTTCTCTTTCTTTCTTTCCTATCTTGTTTTTTTCTTCATCCTTTATTCCTTTATTTATCTTTTTTTGCTTTTTGCTTTTTTACTTCCTCTATCTCTTTTTATCTTCCTCCTTGTCTCTTTCTTCCAAACTTGCCTCCTTCCATCCTTTTTTCAATCTAACAACTTTTTCGTCTTTCTTGTTTTTAATCCTTTCTTCCTTTTTTTCACTTTATCCTTTTCTCAATTATTTTCCTTCCTTAACTTCCTACACTTCCTTTCAGTGTTCTTCTTTCCTAAGTTTTTTTCCCTTTCTTCATTTCCTTCCTTCCATACTTACTTTCTCCCATATTATCATTCTTTTCCTTCCTTCTTACTCTTCATTTCCTTTTTCCCTTTTAATACTTCCTGTCTATGTGTTCTTACTTCCTTACTTTTTTTTTCATTCCTTTCTCCTTTTCCTGATTTCATTCCTTATATTCTTCCTTCCATCTCATCCTTCCCTCCCTCCTTCCTTCATTCTTTTTTCATTTTCTACTTCACTTCCTGTCTATGTGTTCTTCCTTCCTTAATGTTTTCCTTTCTGTCCCCCTTTTCTTTATTCCCTTCCTCACATTTCCTTCCATATTATCCTTCTTTTCCCTCCTTCCTACTTTCGTACTCTTCATTTACTAGTTCCCTTTTCATACTTCCTGTCTGTGTTCTTACTTCTTTTTCCTTCATTCCTTTCTCCCTTTCTTGATTTCATCCATTACATTCTTCCTACCATCCATGTTATTATTCTTCCTTCCTTTCTTCCTTCCTTCGTTCATACCCTTTATTTCCTACTTTCTCTTTTCATACTTCCTGTCTACATGTTCTTTCATCCTGAATGTTTTTCCTTCCTTTCTCCCTTTCCTGATTTCATTCCTTTCATACTTCCTTCCATCTTATTCTTCCCTTCCTTCTTTCCTTTCTTCCTTCATTCCTACTCTTCATTTCCGATTTCCCCTTTCACACTTCCTGTCTGTGTTCTTACTTCCTTAATTTTTCTTCATTTCTTCCTCCCTTTCCAGATTTAGTTCCTTACATTATTCCTTAGATATTTGGTATGATTAGGGATGTAGGATAAGATCATGCAGAATATTTACTTAATAAAGAGCCAATAGCTTAATAATAAGCAGGTAATACGCCTCAAGTTAACAGTGAGAATTGCTACCTAAACTTAAACTTCACCAAATTATTTTTGACAAAAATGTAAAGATTTAAATCATATTTAACTCAAATTCATATTCCAAATGTTATTATTGATACTATGAATTAAATTTTATTTTCTTTACTGTGTTTCCTTATTCTACTGAGTTTCCATCTTCTAATCGTGGTTTTGGCAATCTCTCTCTCTCAGCAGGAGAAGGGGCAGACAGACACTAATCCAGGGTTAGAGGTGAGTAGCGGTGCATGAAGGGTTCATCCGAGCATGGAAGAG